CACCTGGGGGGTTGTAACCTTAGCATCATTACTAGTAATAGTAGCGACAGTAGCTTCATCAACCACCTAGTAGGTTCTTTAGTAGCAGAATCAACATAACCATTCTTAGGATCTCTAGCGATTTGCTGAAGCGTCTCATCATGGTCACCCTTAGTCTCCCACGGAATAGCCATAGCTGAACCATCCATAGGATAGGCCTCTTCTTCTCCATCACGAACACGGCAGAACCTTGTCTCAGCAACTGTGAGAGCCCTATAGAAACACTTATCATCAGGACCTTCCGTCTCAATATAGAACATCTCAGACTCATACCTTTTCCAAGCTTGCTGAGCAATAGTATCAAAAGTATGACCTTCCAAGCGGTTCACCATACAATAGTTCTTAACCGACTTGAAATATATGTGTAAAGTCCTATAAAAGAGAACCTTATACATAGTCAATATCCTCAAGGCCGTAAAATACAATGAGTGGGTAACCATACGATAACACCTTTCCTCCGCCAGTGCCGAATCCTCAGCAGGAATCTTAAGGGGGAGGAGGATAGGATAATTCTCAGTATTCTCCCACTGAGACGTAACGTCCAACATCATCTTGACGCAAATAAACCGTAACAGAGAACCCACGGTAAGAATGGAACAGGGATGCCATATTCCAGCCTTTTCGAGTACCTCAACCGTTAGTTCTTGACCAGGCTTAGCATCCAAAAAGACTGTCTCTCCAGTAACTATAAAAAGCCTTAACTCTGGGGAGAGAGACGTCCATACTTCAGGGACGAAAGTACTTCCCTTAACGAGAGTCAGATGCATAACCTCTTGCTCGAACTGGTTGAACATACCTCGCCTTATCAAAGGTGTAACGGCGAAAGACAGACCGCCACTAGTAAGCCGAGGACCTTTAACCTTAGAGTCATTGTAACAACCCTGCTTAACTTCACGGGAGTACTCGTAGCGAACAATAGGACCCTTAAACGTAACCGTCTTCGTCAGTTTGGCAAAGTCGACGTTAGCCTTCCAAACGAAGTCCCTTATCTCTTCAATAACAGGGTTAGACCCTTCACCAGGCGCATCTATCTTAATACCAGAAGCCATACAGTGAACAGCAAAGTCCATACCCTTCTTCTTGGTTTCCTCGACCATTTTGGACACAAGCTCGGCCTCTGCATAGTAGTCAACGTCGTCGATCATGGCCAAGACATCTTCTGGCTTCAAAATACGACCTTCTGAAACCACTTCAACCACCTTAGTAATAGCCTTGTCCAAATTGTCAACCATAGGAAAGTGTGAAAACCCGTGAGTATAACTCGGCAATAACAATACTGCAAAAAGAATGCAGTATAGAACAACAGCGATATTATCCCCTAACGTTTATACGAGTGGATAATTACCTCACGGAACAGTAGAGCAATAACAACAGATGTTGCAAGCATCTTTAAACCGTAATGGGCGAAACGGTCGAGCCGTTTCAAGCATCCTCTCAACACCGAAACGGTTCTAAATGCTCTAACCATTTCACACACCACCAATGGAATATAGGCTATACAATAAAGGCTAGCTCGATCCTTAAGACTCAATAATTGTCCTTAAGGAGCACCGTCTCACTTAGGAACCAACGATCTCGCGACCGTCATTACGAAACC